GAGAACCCGGCGTGCTCCGTCCCGGCTTTGTAGGGATGCGAGGTCAATGGTCTAACGACTACGGCATGCACGACTATGAGTACACCCCCCACCCCCCCCCCACCGCGTAGGATAAGGTAAGACATCCCCTCACACAGAGTACAACACCCGGTGATGTATGTATTTTTTCTGATGCCCAATTTTATTATCCCCGGGATGTGTAAGCTAGTGCGTACTTTTGGTAAACAGGTTTACAGGATGCCTTAGCGGTTAGACCATTGACCACGCGTCCTCGAGAGGACGGAGCATTGTTCCCACAGAACCGATCAACGATGGCCAATCGTTCCTTCCTACTCTGCCAAAGGTGGCTCAAAAATATCTTCCCTAGTCTATTCGATATCCCTTCCCGCCTTTTCAACCCACCTACTATGCCCCAGTACAGCTACCGTCCTTTCCTCTCTATTCCATGCCTCAAACATCTCCCTGTACGTTCCATCTATTTTTCCCAGCTCAGTCACGTACACTTCCCTCTCCTTCTTGTACAACGGACATTCCGCGACTACATGAACACGGTCTTCGCATTCGAAGCCGCAATCACATTTGGACTCGTCGTCTTCGTCGTCTACCGTCCCATGTCTTCGCCGACGTTCTCGAAGGCCTGTGTGCCCGGTCCTGAATTTGACCTTAAGCTTTGTTCCTGCATCCATTGGTCCATGTCTGTCTCTTATACACATCTAGATGTGTATAAGAGACAGGTCACGTACACTTCCCTCTCCTTCTTGTACAACGGACATTCCGCGACTACATGAACACGGTCTTCGCATTCGAAGCCGCAATCACATTTGAACTCGTCGTCTTCCTCGTCTACCGTCCTATGTCTTCGTCGACGTTCTCGAAGGCCTATGTCCCCGGTCCTGAATTTGACCTTAAGCTTTGTTCCTGCATCCATTGGTCCATGTAGGTAGTCCTTGAACCCTATTCCTTCCTTCAACATTCCGTACACTTCTAGACCCTCCTTATCCTTGGATTCTTTCTGTAGATTCTGTTCTTCTCTGTCGGCACAAGCAAAAGATATCTTCTCCTTGAACCCCTGTAGACCCTCCGTTTCCAGTGTTTCATCTTCGTCGATGTCGAGCCCCTTCCATACGTTCTCTACAACCTTGACGCATTCCGTGGGTTGTCTACCCCTCTTTATGTTTGCCCACTTCGCCTCCCATACAATTCTCGGCAACCCCTCCTCTCCCATCCCGCACATGCGATACCGTAATGTTAGCTTTCTTGCGTCTCTTCCCGACCATGGGGATTGGGGGGAGCGGGAGCGGGGGTAAGGAAGGTGTATTTTTCTGGGAGCGATGATAAAGCGTGTTGCTGCTACGTTATGTATGTACCATTATGTTTCATGATTGGCTGCCGTCTAGTCTGTAAATAGTCTGGTGTTTGTGGTACGTGTTTTGGTGTTGTGTTGAAGGCTAAACCTACGCAGCCGGCGCTATCCCACGTGAGGGGTGCTGTGCCAAACGCCCGTAGACTCTTGGAAATCAACTTCCAGTGTGCCCGGCTGGGGTTGATCTATAGTAGGACCTACTCCTGCCGCGAACCCTACTCCCTTCCCGCGAACCCTGTTGACAAGTTAAGTGATCGGGNCCGCCGACCCCCAATGAAACAGCCATCCGACAGATGGGCCGCCGTTTTCACCCGCAACATGTTTCCGGGCGCGCCCGTGATCGTCGGGAAGGAGCGACTAGCCGCCGAGGGCAGGGCTATTCAGGCGGTTGTGGTCAATAATAAGGTGCGATTGCGGGTACACTCACTGCTGTGTCTGCTGTGGTGTGTGTGTTTTGCTGTTTTGTTCGGAGTCACTTGCGTCTACGTGTCGCAGTTCTAGTTTTGTGTTTTTGGTCATTCCAACGAGAGGGTAAATGGCGGTACCGCCAGGTGTGTGCCCGTAGCGGGTGGCCGGGTGGCGGCGGAAAAGCACCCTCTCTCAAGACGACGCGGTGGCACAACGCGAAGCAGGCGTGCCCCGCCGTCCGTGACCTCGCTTCTCCTGTTGTGACACTCCTGTATCTGTTGAAGCTGGTTCCCTCTCTGTCCGACGAGCCAAAGGCACAGACACGACAACAATCGGTTCGTTCGACAGGACGGAAGTCGGCTTCACTGCTGCTGTTCGTTTTTCTTGTTTGTTTTTGCCGCCCGCTTCTATCAGATCTCCAACGTGTGTCCGGGAGGCGATGGCAAGGGAGGCGGCGCCAGTGCAGGGGTAGCTGACTCGGAAAGGTGCGGGGGACAAGCGTAGGAGGGGGGGGGGGGGGGGGTAGGGCACACAAGACAAGGCTGACCGCGTGAAGAGGGTAACAGCTGGAGAGAAGGCGGAGGAAGAAGGAGGATTAGTGCGTTCGTCGAAATCGTCCTCGAGGGTTTGGGCGGGTACGGGTGGGAAGCCCTTTTTCCTTTTTCGTTTGATCGTTTGTCTTCGGGTGGCTTGTCTGCCTGCCTGATAGCCACGACAACCCCGCTCGAGACGAAACGACAACTAGTCCTTGCTCCGCACAGAGTCACCACCACGCTTTATTTCTCTTTCGGGCGGAAACCAAGCGGAGGGGGGGGTTTACGAAGGGGTGTATCGACATGCCGCGGTGAGCAAAACCCTTACCCACCCACTAATGGCGTCAACCCCTTTCCACCAACCACCCTTGGGGTGCCCCCCGCCCCACTCGCTTTCCTTTTTTCCTTCTGGTTGCTTGCCACTACACGGGCCCGGACTACTACGGAAAACGAACATGAAGCATCTGCCAGCGCGCGGCGGAGGTGTTCGGGCTGGAGGGCGGCGCGGAGGCGGTGATCCCGTGCTCAACGGGAGTGATTGGCTGGCGCCTTCCCGTGGACGCAATTTGCGACCACCTGGTGTGTTGAGCGATAGTGGTATCACGCGGGAGGAGGTTTTGGGGGAGGGCGCTGTAGAGAGGGAGGGGAGAGAAACTGTTTTTCGGACCGGGTTGGTTTATTCATCGATTAGTGTGTTGCAAGTGAACAACACCGGGGGGGGGGGGAGGGGTGGGGGGGTGGGGGGGTATGTGCCCCCCAAGAGCAGACGTACGTACGTGGTGACGTTTGGCGAACGTGTAGAGGGATGGAAGACCCTGTGTCGGGCGCTTTGCTCTCTGTCCGCGCTCAGGCTGTTGTTGTCTGACCCTAGTCGTCGAAGGGAGGCCAGTCGACGCTTACGTAACCCATGAACACGGGGGTGCCTTGATATATCATTGAGGTGGGATGCTCAAGCAAGCGGCCAAGTGAGGACGTGCCCCCCTGCTGGCGAGGGTCGCATCGTTAGCACACGTCGCGTGTGGCTACGGTTGCTGGGGGTAAGAAAAGAGCGCGACGCTTGTTCTGTAGGACCTGCCGAGGGTTGAATTGAAGGCAGGGCGTGACGACAGGAGCACACCCCACGCCCAATCCTCCCGCAAGAAGTTGTTGTTGTGTTTGACGACGGCCATGCACTAGAATGGCGGTACACAACGCCACCACTGGTGTACGAAAACCTTCAAAGATCGATTTAATTGTCTGCGTGTCCCCCTATCCCCCCTCCCCCCCCTGGTTGCCGTATTTTGCAGGCTCCCGTGAAGGCCACGATGCAATCAGATTCCCTGTATCCGGCGTGCAAATCGATCATGACGACAGACCGGTTTCCCAAGCTGAGGGGCACCGAGGTGAGTCAAAGAGAACACCGGGGGTTATAAATGCTTTTTTTATGGGCGAAAGCTCTAGAAGAGTATGATCGGTGCCGTGCTTGTTGCACACAATTTGTTGCGAAGCACGGGCTCAGTAATGTTGCTGTTGCTACTGCTGCTGCTGCTGCTGCTGATGCTGATGCTGCTCCGAAACCGTATTTATTGACAGGTGGGATCAAACGGAGGCCGGCTGGTGGGAATTGCCAAGGGTGCCGGTATGATCGAGCCCGACATGGCAACGATGCTCGTGTACCTCGTCACAGACCTGCAGGTAGGTGTGTCGTTGTCCTCGTCGTCGTCCTCGTCCTCGTCCTCGCTGTCGTTGTCGTTGATGACATCTACGATAATGTAGTTTGCTGCTCGTGAAGAGTTGCCTTGGTTCGTCCCTTCTCTCTTGTCTCTTTCTCTCTTCTTTTTATTTGACTTTGCCGAAAAGACATCGTATACAGTGTGTGTTTTCGTCCTATTTTTATGGCGACAGTCCCCCCGTTGTTCTTGGTGAGACGTGTACTGCCCTTTGCAGCGTATGTGGAGTACTACACTTTTCAGTGTATTTTTTCGTACAACTACAACCATCCAGGGTCACACAGGAGGGGGTAAAACACCAGGGCATATTTCTTCTTTTAATATATTTTCATGCCCCACCTTCCTCGTGCGGTGCGTGCTGAATTTTTTTTTTATCGCGAGAAGGGTCCAGCCGTCCCGTTTTCCCTCGTCAACGGTGCTACGTCGAAGTTTGGTACTCACGAGAGCTTGTCAGCTATATTTCGCTTTCACCCGCACATTTCGTAAATTTTTCACCCCATGGGGATCCGAACTCACGACCTCTGCGACTAAATAGCGGATTTGGAGGATACCACTAGACCACCGGGGCGACCGGGGGACAGTACGAGTGCCAGGTACATTTATTCGCTAATTCTAACACTTGTGTTGTAGATGCGCTCCCTTTTTTTTTTTTGCAATGTTGCCCCATTCGTGTGTGTCGTGTGCTTACCGTGCCTACCGTTACCAGATCCCCCGTGAGAAGATGAGGGAGCTCCTGTCGAAGAAATCTGACGCTTCGTTCAACTGCATCAGCATCGATAGCGACACTTCCACTTCGGTGAGTCAAGCGAGCCAGCTAGTCCTGACAAGCAAGCGATGTCGAGGGAGGGGTAGAGTACGGCAAATATAGATAGATGGACAGGCCGGCCGACCTGAAGACAAGAGCAGAGATAGCGATATTGTAGCAAGAGTATTAGACGGGGGAAGAGAGCGTGACAGAGATGGCGAGAAGTGAACAGATTTGAGACAGGGCAGCGAACCATTTGATAGGCAGGGGCAGAGGAAGCAGAAAAAGAGAAAACCACGCCCAACCACATCCGGGAAACCACCCGATCGGACCTTCATCCACGACTCCCCCTCCCTCCGGTCTCCTTCAGGCTTCATGCCCTCTCCCGATCGTTCCTTGTCAACTGTTCCGTTTGCTTTTCCGTGTGTGGACAAACACGAATATCGATACAACAACAAAGGTTGCCCACTCATTGAACACATCCTTTCGACTGGGGTAGTGTCTCGAACGGCGATGCTGGTCTTTCCAATGATTACACCCATGTTCTCATGATATCTTCTGTTTTAGAACACGACCAAATTATGCATGCACTAGCCGGACCGGGCCGGCCACGTTGCTGCGATGGCTATCACAAACCGATCGCTGTGATTGCGATTTCTGCGATCGCAATCACGGCTTCCGTTTCGCGACTGCGGTCCCCCCATATGCATAGGACACGGTGCTACTCCTGTCCTCGGGGAAGGTGCCCCTGGCTGAGGGCGACCTGGAAGACTTCGAGGAGAAGCTGGAAGCTGTGTGCGACGGTCTGGCCGAGGATGTCGTCAGGAACGGGGAGGGTACTGCCCACGTTATGCAGGTGCCGTGCGGTACTGTGCGGTACGGTAACGGTAACGGCACGGTACGGTGCACAGTGCTGATTGCTGTATGACATGTACAAAATCGCAAATACATGGTTTGGGTTTTTTTATTTTTCTAGGATTCGTTTTTTTTGCCCCCCCTCCAAGAGAGAAGAACAGAATCTAAGGAAAGAATCCAAGGATAAGGAGGGTCTAAAAGTGTACGGAATGTTGAAGGAAGGATTAGGGTTCAAGGATTACCTACATGGACCAATGGATGCAGGAACAAAGCTTGAGGTCAAATTCAGGACCGGGGACATAGGCCTTCGAGAACGTCGACGAAGACATAGGACAGTAGACGACGAAGGCGACGAGTTCAAATGTGATTGCGGCTTTGAATGCGAAGACCGTGTTCATGAAGTTGCGAAATGTCCGTGGTACAAGAAGGAGAGGGAAGTGTAATGTGACTGAGCTGGGAAAAATAGATGGGACGTACAGGGAGATGTTTGAGGCATGGAATAGAGAGGAAAGGACGGTAGCTGTACTGGGGCATAGTAGGTGGGTTGAAAAGGCGGGAAGAAGGGCTATCGTTAGGATAGACAGAATAGGGAAGACATTTTTGAGCCACCTTTGGCAAAGTAGAAAAGAACGTTTGGCCATCGGTGATCGGTGGGAACAATGCTCCGCCCTCTCGAGGACTCGTGGTCAATGGTCTAACCGCCAAGGCTTGCAAAACATAAGAGTACGCCCCTCCCTTCCCTTTTTTTTCTAGGCAGACGTGGGGCCAGTGAAAACATGCAGGTGCTAGTTTGTCATTTTCTTAGTTTTTTTTTTTCCTCTTGTTCTAGTTAAGGCAGGCATCGGGTCGGTGTACTATGTGTCGTAGGCTGCATGTAGACGTAGGAAGACTCATCATCTCATCTCGTGCCCCCCCGCCCCCCCCTGTGTTCACCACNCCCCCCCCCTCTTTTCCTTCCCTCTGCTGTGCCCCTCCTGCTTTCAGGTCCATGTCACAGGCGCACCGACGTCAGCCCTGGCGCGAAAACTTGGCAAGGCGGTCGTGAACTCGCCCCTCTTCAAGGCGGCGGTGGCCGGCAACGACCCCAACGTCGGACGTCTGCTGGCTGTGGTGGGGAAAGTGATGGGGAGAGAGTCGCCCGACACGGACGTTAGCAACACCAGGTGTGTGTGTCGGAGGGGTATTCTAATGTTTTGCATGCCTTAGTGATTAGACCATTGAACGCGCGTCCTC